CCTCCTACCCAAACTGTGCTACCTGGTGCAGTAGTCTGGAAGCTGACCTTGCCTGTGAAGACTAAGGTGAAAGTGGCATTGAGCACTTCAGCCTTTTCTGCATCTTCTGTCACAATGTTGCCCCCCCATTCATTGATCCTTCCCCCGATCCTCCTCTTGCTACTGACATACGTGTAGAAACCCTTCTTGTTACCCTTTATATCCCTTGGTAGCTGCAACTCCAATTGCACTTTGGCCTTCCTGATTTCATCCCTGCATGTCTGAGCAATGCTCTTATACTCTATTTGGTTATGTGCTAGTTATTCCTACCAGTCGTTCTCTATACCTGTTCTAGTTTGAGAACATGTTTCTAAAACTCACTTCTCAGTGATCAGAATCAAATGCAGAATTCTTAACAATTCATATAGTGAATTCTGTCCACATACACACACATATGAGAGGTGTGGTACAGTGCCCTGAACACTGGCCTGGCAGCAAGTAACTTTCCAGTTCTAGGCATGGCTTTGACAATAACTTCTTTTGTACCCTGGAATGAGTCACTTCTTTGAGCTAGTCTCTGACTACGAAGTAGGGAGGAGAATACTGCCTGAGAGGAGAATCGTGTCAAATAAGTAATGTGTACACAGTGCTTCCAAGACAAAAAGTGCTGAAGTAGGTATTAGCAGGGTCTCTATTGCTATATTAGGTGTGCTCACCTGGAGCTGTGCTGTTGGCCCTGTGGGGTCATATGCCTGCAGTCTGATTGGGAAAGGGAAGCACAGAGCTGGAGCCAGCACTGGGGAACCTTGGCAGCTCAAAATCCTCCCCAGGCCAAATGGTGTCCCCACAGCTGACCCCATTACAGGGCAAAACCCTGGCACAAAATACTTTTTGCCCCTACTCCTGCTGCAAGTCACATAGCTGAGGATTGTGCCCCAAAATGTTACTGTCCCTCTATCCCCATTGTGGTGTATTTTCCCATGAGCCGCCAGTGATTTGTTTTCTCCTGCTGGGGTGGTTTTTAGCATGTTTTAAATGGAGATATGCTTGTGGATGGCCACACGCTGATAGGAATCGGTGCAATTTTGACCAGTTGGGGCTCTTTCATTTGTTTTAGTCTTTGTTTTTTTTGGTGGGGTGGAGGGCAAAATCCCAGGACAGTTCGGTAGCCAGGGGTCCCCTAGGGCAGCGCTCAGACTGGCAGCAACCCTCAGAAAATGCCCGGGTGCCAGGGCCCCAGCCCTGGTGCTACGGACCCTGCTCTTCCTTTCCCCTTGATTTTTCGCCTGTGGGAAAAGAGGAGGGCCATGCTTCCCTTGCAGAGCCTTCAGGAAGCCCACAGCAGGGCGGGAAGTTTGTATGTCTTCACTCGGAGCTCGTGGTGGAGGTGATAGCTTTTGTTTAGACTAGCTAGATTTTTGCAACCAGAAAAAAACATCTTTCTTTGCAGTCTACTCGTTTTCAAGGCTGCGGAGTGTGGCGGTGAAAGCCCCGAGGGGGGTGAGGCTGAAGTTGGTTCCTTATTCCCGGCTGCTGGTTCACATCCAGCCTTTGCCCAGCGAGCCGCACCAGGCAGAGGCGCATCCGGGGCCCCACTCCAGCCTCCTC